TCCAATGGCTCCTCCAATGTCTCTCAACAAAAATCCAAATGGAAAGCCTGTAAACGTTACTGTTTATAGAGGAATGATMGGCTCCCTGCTGTATCTAATAGCTAGTCGACCAGATATCATGTACTCTACATGCTTATGTGCAAGATATCAAGCTGAACCAAAGGAATCCCATCTGATTATTGTAAAATGCATCTTCAGATATCTTAAGGGAACTCCTCACATGGGTCTTTGGTACCCCAAAGGTTCAGGTTTTGACCTAATCGGTTATTCGGATAGTGATTTTGTAGATTGCAAAATTGATAGGAAAAACACCATTGGAGGCTGTCAACTTCTAGGTGGAAAGTTGGTGAGCTGGACAAGCAAAAAACAAAACTCAGTGTGCATGTCAATAGCTGAAGCTGAATATGTAGCCGCTGTTAGTTGCTATGCACAAAATCTTTGGATGAAAAACCAGCTGATGGACTATGATCTTCAGTTTTCAAAGGTTCCTATTTATTGTGATAGCACTAGTGCTTTTGCAAATAACCCTGTACTTCACTCCAAGACCAAACATATTGAGATCTGATATCATTTTATCAGAGATCATGTTATGAATGGTGATATAGAACTTCACTTCGTTCCAACTGAGTACCAGCTCGCTGATTTTTTCACCAAGCCTCTTGATGCGACAAGATTCAACATCTTGATCAGCGAACTTGGGATGCTAAACACTGAAGAATAATCTTTAGCAATTAGCATCACTCAGTAAGTGAAATGATTCAGTGTTCTATCTTTAACACTGAACTTTTGAGTAAATATATCTATTCTCTCTAAGGTATGATTACTCTTCTCTTTTCTTCAAAACTTAAAACCTTCACTAAAGCTTTTTCTCTTCAGTGACAAATTTTTTAAAAGTTGGTTTCAGTGATTCTTATATCGCTGACCATAAATAAGTATAACTCGTTTTACTTATTCTCTTAAAAATAAAAAATGATCACTGAATCCTTTTGATCATTGATTCAAATGTTTTTTTAAATGTCAGGTTTAGTGATTATCTTATCATTGACACTGATGCCTTAAAACTATCACTGAAGAATTCTGACTTCATTGATAAAAATGCTTTAAAAGGTCTTTTCAGTGTTTAGTTAAACACTAAATGACTCTTCGTTTTCTTAAAAACCTTTTGTTTTTAAAAGAAAATAGTTAATGAACCGTCTTAATGACGACATTCTCTATTTGCAGTGCGCAACGCTTTGAGACGTGCAAAAAGGTACTGGCATACGCTATCTCATTTAATGTCATCCAATCATGGATGAGAACGTGCAATTTTTCATCATGGCCCCTTTCCTCAACCGTTGTCTTTTCTCTCTCTCTCATATTTCTTCTCTGTCTGCCTACCTATAAATATGAGACCTCTCATCCACTTTTCTCTCTATGCTTTCAAAATTTCAAAGATGAGCCTCTACCAAAATTACCAAGCAATAAATTTCTCAAAAATTGTGAGTTCACTTTAGATCAATCTTCAAACTTCTAATAAGAATCCATGGCAAAATCTAGATTTAACAATAAGAACATATGAGAGAGTTGAGAGGAAAAGTCAATGCCCCAAATATTGGTCAAACTTTCTTACGTAAACTGATTTTACAATAAAGCTCTTACAAAATTTACAAAGACAAACCCTTTATATAGGGTCAAACTATTAACACACTAGTCCAAGTCAAACAATGCTTACAAAGTCAAACACGATGTCAAATACAATTATAGACAAAATTAGCTTTCAAGACGAATACAATTTACACTGATTTTCAGTCCTAACATTCTCCCCTTTTGTATTCAGTGTTGAAAGAATTTACGCGCTTTGAGTCTCGTTTGAAGTTTGTTGCTTTAAGCACTTTATGTCTTCTTCAAAACACTTCTAAGAAAACTCTTCACTTTGCAATCTTCAGACGATCTTTTGTTGAGAAAGATCTTCTAACATTCTCCCCATCGAATGTAGAACAGAGATGATCTTCTATTTTGACAATGTAAAATAGTATCAGCAAAAATCTTCAGAAACAATCTACAGGATGTGATCTTCAAAGAAATTTTCACACAACAAATCACAAATTTTCTCTTTGATAAGAAATCTCTGTTGGTAAACTTTTGAAACGATGATCTTCACATTAAAAAAAATCTCAGTCATTTTAGCACAGGAATAATCTTCGATAATAATCTCCAGTCGCACTTCTTTTGCGTCTTTTGTCGTCATTGATGTTACTCCCCCTTGATCTTTATAACAAACTTTCTCGTAAATTCTTTTGGCTCACAAAAACTACCCCTCTCTTTTTCATTTTAAACTCTCCACACAAACCCTTTTTGAGTTAAAGCTCACTCAGATATGGTTGTCCTCTTGGGTAGGTTTTTCGGTTTTGACATTCCATAGAGGTATTTCTGTTAAGCATTCAGTCCCTCCTAAAATTACTGTAAGCTTAGTTGATCACAATGGTTGATCAAAAATATTATTTCTATAAAACACAATGATCAGATAAAATTGAGCAAGAAAAATATATCATTTAAGCACAAACAATGAAAGGAGTGATTCACAAAATCAGATTATTCAGTATGCGAGAGAAATGAATGAAGATCTGTAAGAACAAGTTCACAGATTTTGATATTCAAAGAATTATAAAAATGTATCAATCAAGGGAAAAAAAATCTTCTCAAGTTCTTCTCGACCTTCATCTCTAAAATCTTAAGGTCAACATTTCTTCTCTTAAATCTTCTTCTAAGAAATACGTTTGATAATATTAAGAAACTTGTTCTCTTGAACTGTTAAACAACAATGATTATTTAACCAACTCTTACTTGGTTATAATCACCTTTCTTTAAACACATTCTACTTGGAAAAGCCTAATCCTTCTTGAAGGATTTTTCAAAAGAAGTTTTTATTGATTCAGAAACTTTACCTATACACCTTTCCTATACAAATCTTGGTTTTACTAACAGTCTGTTTTATCTTATTCTTACTAAAAACAAATTGCTGCCAAGAACGTTGGATTCACTCTCGACAAGGTGTCCTTCAAGACCAACAACCACATTTCCTTGTTGGACGTCCCTTCAACCAAGGCGTATTACCAAGAGGCAACTGACTTCCTCAAACAGTTGTCGCTCGGTTTTGCCTTCAACCATGAACCCATCATGGTTAAGGAACTTTTACAGCAGTTTTGGTTCACTGCTGAGGTGGTTGATGTAGAAGACAAACATGGCCACCAAGTTGAACAAGTCAACTTCACCTTCAATCGCATGTCCATGAAGTTTGGCGTGAACATGATGAGGATGGCTCTTCACCTTCCCAAAGGCCCCATTCGACAGCGAACCCACAACGGCCGAGATCATCGATTGTCTCGATGCCATTGGCTATTAATAGCCAATGAAGAAGGACTCAAATGCTCCCATGAAGTCCTTGTCAAAGATTGATAAGAACAGGATGTCAGCAATCTAGCAATACCTATTCTCTCACTTCATCCAGTCTATGGGTGGAAAAACTAGACGTTAGGACCAGTCCTCTTGGATTGCCTTGACGATTGGCGTTTCTACGATACATCATCGCAATATAAATTATGTTGCGGCCATTTTCGATGACCTGGTGCAAAAGCTGTACAAGCGCCATGGAGAAAAGGTGGTGCCTTACACTAGGTTCCTTTCTATGGTCTTCGCCAAGATCTTTGGAGAGAAATACTCCAACGAAGGTAACCTTCAGGTTTCCAAGCTTGGATCCAAGATTCTGGATCATAAGCTAAGGGATAGTGATGTGACACTCTCCTCTATAGTGTCCCTCACTACCTCCTCTCCTCTGGTGGCCAAGACAAGGGTAAACCCCCCCTGCATCTAGCCTAGCCACCAAAACCTCCTCCATACGACTTTCTCAACCAACTCTTGGTTCTCCTGAGAGAGCCAAGAAGGCCAAAAACAGGATAGCCACATCTCTGGCTGAAACCTCTCGACAGGTTTCAGCTTTTGAAACCAGCCTTAACCCCGAGGCAATTTTAGCTAACCCTCCTAGCTCTTCAGTGATTCCTCCAATCACTATTGTATCAGTGGCATCTACCCCAACCACCTAAGTGACCCAAATCACTGAAGGTATGGATATCAGCACCGCCACCGCTGAACACCCACGTCTCTTCTCAACCATTTTCTCTTCTCCTTCTTCTTTGGTCTTTACACGTGTTGATGATGTATCAGCTAATGTCCTCCCTCATACTGAAACACACACCATTGGACCTGAGGTTTCTCCTCTAGATGCTCCTCAACATACAGATATCTATCATCTCGAGGATATCTTTGCTCATGCCAGTGACAATCCTTTGGATGTCATTGATGGCTCCTCAGGTATTCCAACTTCCTATCCCTTCATTTCTTCTAACCTTGAGCCTCTTAATGCTCACCTTTCATCTTTTGTAGGTCCTTCTTCTATGCCCAAGTCTATGGAAGTAGAAGAAGAAGAAGAGGATGGGGAAGAGAAGGAAGAAGATGGGGAGAATGACACCTTTGACGAAGAGGAAGATGAGGATTATGACATGGCGTCAGATGTCAAGCTTCTTATCCCAGCCGTCGATTCCGTTTTCTGCTATATGGTTGAAGTTCACCAACAGATGCCTTACAAGGCTTAACTTGATGTGGACCTCTCAGCTCTCAAATCCGATGATCAAGAAGTACAGAGTCATCTCTTGACTCTCTAAGAAGTTGTTCGAGCCAACACTGAGGCCATTGTTGTTCTCTCTAGGAGGGCTGATGATGCTTAGGCTCTATCTCTTTAGCAGACGGGACTTCTTCAGCAGATCCTGGATGTTGTCTGTCAACCAGCTCTAGTGATCCCGCCTTTCTTCTTTGCTGATGATCGTGCTCAGCTTAATGAGACGTGTGAAGCAACGAGAACTCTAGCCAATGCTCTGTCAAGGCTAGAGGAAATGATGGTTCTCCAGCATCAGTGCATGGAAGAACTCTCTGTATTATACTCTCAAGTCTTAGCCAGAGAGGGGAAGATGAGGTCCAACACTACTGGACCATCTGCTGCTGTTGCTCCAGCAATCCTTCCAACTGAAGCTGAAGCTCCTAGAGCCGAGGTTGTCGCTGCTCCTGTAATCGCGACCACCAAAGCTGTTACAGCTGAGGAGGTTGATGCCATCCCAAGGGATGATGATCTTTCCATCACCTCTGCACCCGTTGCTGGTGGTGACGATGATGAAGACAAAGACGATAAAGATGAAGATGACGAACCTGATCTCCCAGACCCCAAAAGTGACCTAGATGATGATAACGATGATGATGAAGATAACTTTACCATCCAGTGTCAAAATCCAACAACCGCCACCGTGGGAGTCGCCCTCAGGGATTCTGCATCCCAGAGGGAGCAAAGAGAAGAAGAGTCTGCTCCATCAACGAACCACGGCCACAAGTCGAAAGGCAAAGTGGTCGCTGAGTAAGGGAATCTGAAGGTATTGTTCAATATCCCTCAATCCTTATTTGAAGACTCTACCTCTCAGGTTGTAGTCACTTCTCTTTATCAACTTCAGATCCCATCAACTACCTGCGGTCGACTGGAGTGGGTTCCTAAAAACCCTGTCTCCAATGCCCTCTGACCAGCAGATGGCTCAGCTAAAGGAGTCACTCGACTATACTAGAGTAAAAATCCCTCTTCGTACCTCTAGTGGTGGTGAATTTGACTTCCTTTCAGAAGTTGAAAGACTCGAGGCATTAAGGGCTGAAGAATAGCAAGAGCTTCAGAGGAAGCAGACTGAAGATAGCTTAAAGATGGCCAAGTCACTAGCTGAGAAGATTCTCCCTTAGAGAATGTCCAAGAAGAAGGTGAACGATGTCCAAGCCTAGGCTAAACTTCTTTCCATTGCAGAAGCTGAGCATGAGAAGATCCTGAAGCTGGTCGAAAAGAACAAGTGTTGGAGCGAAGCAAAGCTGAAGAAGAAAGTCAGTCCCCGCCGGTCATCAGTGTCAGCATCAGCTAACGTTCAAAAGACGGTGGAACACTGGTCTTAATGCTCATCACCAGGGACAATCTCGATGCCATCACCGAGTACCCTTCCTACCTTAGCCGCTATGGATACAGTGAATGGCTAGTATCAAACAAGCCATTCAGCGATCCATGTCAAGACATAAGCCAATTATCAAAGACATCATTAGCGATCTCATCAAACGGATGTCCAGGTATGTCGCAGTCCCTGACAGGCCTTCTCTGAAGATAGGTGGAAGGAAGAAGAAAAAGCTCTCTAATCCTAATGATGGATCATTCCTAAGGAATGAACATGAAACAAGGTTCTCCTTAGATGAAATCTTGAAGGAACATGAGAGTATAGACACTTCTATGCTGAATCTCGACTTGCCAGATAAGGGTCCCTATACACCCAACTTTGTGTATTTCAAACCTGAGTTAGGAGTTATATTCCTTGACTATGAAGGTGAAATCAGATTTCAGAGAATGTCAGAGCTACATCTATGTCCAATGGGTCATTTGGTTTACCTATTACTCTGGATAGATGATAGCATGCCTGGAAAAGTCATGGACCTGAAGATACGAAGAGAATGCCTACGTCGAAAGAACCTTGGTGAAGATGTACCTAGCTGCATAGATCAAAGTGTTCTAGATTAGTTTCTCTTTGTAATATTGTTCACTTTTCCTTGTAAATCTATTTACTATGTCTACTTTCAGTGATTAATCTTCTAGTCTGTAAGTATTAGACATGTACTGAACTACTTGTAATATCTCCAATGATAATAATATAAGTGTTTCTTGTACTTCACTGAAAAGATCCCTGAAAAAAGTAATAGGGACACAAGTTTATGAGTTCCAGAGTTACTTTTTACATTCACTAACAATCTATAAGTCAGTGAATAAGCTTTCAGTTTCAGTTTCCATCCTTGTAATTTTCTCTTAAATATGACTTACGGAAAATTCTCAAGCAAAGACTGACTCACTGAAAAAGATCTCAAAATAGTAAAAAGGGACATGTACTTTATATGTAACTTTTCCTTACTATTATTTGATAAGACAACTTTCTTTATGTTGTCTTGTTATCATCAAATAGGGGGAGATTGTTGATCCTCTCTCTCAGTGATTTGATGATAATCCCTTTTCACTTATACGAAGTATTTATGTTTCTGTCTTTTCAGTTCCAACGATCTTCACTGAACCTGTTCAGTGATCATTGAAGAACTTGTATTGTAATTCAATCAACGACAATGATACTTCAAAAAGACAACACTCACATCAAAGAACCTTCAGCCAATGTCGAAGACTGAAACTGAAGATTAGAGACCGGCAAGTACATGATCTGAAGCGGTACTCAGTGATTACAAGCCGGTCTACATATGTATGAAGACTGCTTAAGCCTCAGTAAATGCTGAAGAGACCTCCAGGTTATTCCATCATTCAGCGATCAAAAGAAGCTTGCCATGCACGATTGTTGTTGTCTTGCCCTTATGCACACAATGGACAAACCCATACCCTTTCTAAATGTTAGTACGGTATGTAGCCGACTAGTTGACTCTATTACCCACCAACTTTAGGTAAGGATGTCTGCTCATGAATAGACTTTTTATACTATTCACTATAGCAAAGGACAAGCCTTCCTCTTAAGTCTTGACATGCACTCTAACCCTACCATATTGCATTAACTGTGCCTTTAATACAATGGGTATAAATAGAAATGTTTCTTCTCCATGCAGAGAGTGTGCACAACACACTCATTTAACCTAATTCTTACTTGGAGCATTCTTGAGCTTAAGTAAAAGAACTTACTTTCTTCTACAGCAAATCTTTTCTTATTTGCTAAGATTCAGTGTGCAACCTAAGATTGTTTAGATAGGTTTGCTTACCTTATCTTTTCGCAAACAGTCTTGTAAAATTTGTATTGATCTTCTCTTATCAATATACATTTTTAATTTGAAAAGACTGTGTTTGTATTCATCCCCCCTTCTACAAATTGTTTTACGTTTCTTGTAGACCCTTATGGGACCAACAACAACATTATGCATCTCTGGAATGTGGCAGGAGCATTGCATAGTCTAAATAGAATTCTTGTAAAAGCAAATGTACTATAAGGGCAAGTGAAAGTGGTTTTCTCTTAATTCTCAGAAGAAATAGAAATTTGATTATAGCCAGAATAACCATCTAAAAAACAATAGTATTCTTTCTCAACTAATCTATCCAACATTGGATCTATGAATGGCAAGGGGAAATGGTCTTTATGGGTTGCTTTCTTAAGATTCCTATAATCCATGCATATTCTCCATCYTGACACTATCCTAGTTGGGATTAGTTCATTTTTCACATTTTCTATTACAGTCACACCTCCTTTCTTAGGCACACATTGACCAGGACTTACCTAAGAGCTACTAGCTATAGGATAAATAACGCCAGCATCAAGTGTTGATCCTCTCTCTTATTGATTTGATGATAATCGCTTTTACCTATTTTGAAGTATTATGTTTCTGCTCGTTCAGTTCCAATGATCATCACTGAGTCTGTGCCCAAGTCCTTTGGATGAAAAACCAACTTAACGACTACGATCTTCAGTTTTCAAAGGTTCCTATCTATTTTGATAGAACTAGTGCTATTGCGATTGCAAACAATCTTGTTCTTCACTTCAAGACCAAACATATTGAGATCATATATCATTTTATTAGAGATAATGTTATGAATGGTAATAATGAAATTCACTTCTAATTACCAACTCGTTGACCTTTTAACGAAACCTCTTGATGAGACAAGATTTAACATCTTGATCAGCGAACTTGGAAAGCTAAATGCTAAAGATCAATTTCCTCCATTTATAAGCATTAGTCAGTAAGTCAAATGATTCAGTGTTCTTATTTTATCACTTAACTCTTGAGTAATATCTCTTCTCTCTAAGGTATTTATACTCTCTCTTCTTCTTTAAAACATAAAACTATCACTGAAGCTTTTCTTCTTCCCTGATCAAAACGTTTTAAAAGATGGTTTCAGTGATTCTCTCTATCGCTGAACATTTTAAGTAAGTATATCTCTCCACTATACTTATCTTTTCTTAAAATTAAAATGATCACTGAACCTTTCTTCTTTCAGTGTTTCAAAAGTTGTTAAAATATAGTTTCAATGTTTCTCCTATCACTGATTCTTTTATGAAAATATATCCCTATAAGATATTTTCCTTTCTTAAAACAAAACCATCACTGAAGCCTTTTCTTCTTCAGTGATCAAATATTTTAAAAGTTCCTTTTATTCAGTGATTCTCTTATCACTGGATGTGACTCTTGAATTTCTTAAAACCTTTTTGTTTTAAAAGAAATAGATAATGAACCGTCTTTATGACGACATTCTCTGTTGCCAATACACTTTTGTTTTGAGACGCGCATAAAGTTCTGACACACGCGACTCCTCAACATACCATCCAGTCGTGGATGAGAACGTGCTACTTTTTCATCATTGCACATCCTCAACAATCGTATTTTTCTCTCTCCTCATTCTTTCTCTCTCTCTCCTCCTACCTATAAATATGAGACTTCTCCTCTTATTTTTCTTTACCCTTTCAAATCTTTGACGAACCTCTGCCAAAACAGATTTGCAAGCAAGAACCAGGCACTAAGAACGCTCGAAACTTCGACCTTTTCTTCTAAATTTGTAAGGCCGATACTCCTTTTATATTGTGATATGTTCTTCTTCTTCAATGAAACTATTGTTTGTTTTTTTTTAAGAACTTGTTCTCTTAAAATACAAAACATTAAGATTATTAACGCATTCTCTTACTTGGTTATAATCTAAAGTTGCAAAACACCTGTTCTTCTTGAAAAACCCTAATATTTTCTTTATGGATTTTTCGGAAGAAGTTTTATTGTTCTAGAACTTAAAAACTGACATCCTAATCTTGGACTACTAACAAAACTGTTATTTCTTATTTCTTACTTATAACAGAAAATGGCTGCTCAAAACGTGAACTTCTCCATTGAAGATGTGTCCTTCAAGGCAAACAATCACGTCGCCTTATTGGATATCCATACAAACAAATCCTACTACAAGGAAGCCGCTACCTTCCTCAAGAACTCGCCTCACTCCTATGCTCTCACTCATGAGCCTGTCATGGTGAAGAAAGCCCTTCCACAATTTTGGCTGACTGCTGAATGTGTTCGAGACACGGACAAGCATGGTCATTTGGTGGAGAAAATGTTTTTCACCTTCAATTGCATGACCGTCAGCTTTGGTGTTTCCACGCTAAGGCACACTCTTCGTTTTCCCAAGGGTCCCTTTTTCTGCATCCTTCGATTGAAATCATCATCGCCTGCCTCAATGATATTGGCTATGCATGGCTAACGAAGAAAGACTCCAGTGAACCCCTCAAATCCCTGTCGAAGATCGAGAAGAACCGCATGTATGTGGTATGGCAGTACTTGTTCTCCCACTTCATTCAGTGCATGGGAGGCAAGATTGGCGGACAAG